TTCGACATATTAAACGAATTTACTCAATTGTAGGTACATAACATATACGAGGTGGCCAGTAAATAACGATTCAAACATTTACAACGATACCGATCATGGATTATGGGAATTTGACATTTTATGGGCGATTTTGTTAGCTGGCACATGCTGGCAGAATCCCTGAAAAAAAAAGAAAATATAACTTTCATTTTCTTTACAAATTTAATATAACCACTTTACAATATTCACGTCACTGTAGGTCTATTGCAGGATGGAAGTTAGATGTAAGTCAGAAACGAAACGAAATTGTCAGAATTTTCAAGGGCTTTTGAAAAATAGGAAGTGTGAAATTGTGAAAAGCTGGGCCTTCATTTATCGGAAACTCAGTATAATATGAAGGATAACCGTTCTTCTTCCTAAGAGTTAATACTTACTTTAAGGAAATGGGAAATTTTGTCATTGATTTTAGGCATATTGTTTGGACGAACGAATCGTATTATTATTTAAGTATTGTTGCTGTTATAAATAGCAGTAAAGTATCAATTCGTTTATTAGATACCTCGTTATCTATCGTATAGAGTCATTATTGTCGCCTAACTTATTAATTCTTTGCATTTTAAATGAGTTTTTTCGTGGCCAGAATTTATTATCTAAATAAAATGAAGACACAAAAAGAACAAGTTAGTGTAGCTGTGTAGGTATCTGCATACGTGTTGGTAGGTATAATATTAGGTATACATAATAAGAAGAGCGAGGACCGTGGAGGACCTTACAACTGTAATATAAATGATGCCGTCAAATGGAACGTTAAATAGATACCATAAAACAGCTTTTCAGTTTTAAATGGAGATAAGCAACAGACTACTATCGAATACTTAACACTAAATAACTCTTCTGAGAAAAATGTGGAAAAGGTGACCAACTCCAAACTAGTTCCTATTCTATATTTAAACTCTGGGGAACTTTTACTGTGTAGTTGATGAAATTCTCAGAGCTTTAGCGTCCTCATATCCGTAGGTACCTATAATAAAAGACCCAGCTTAAGTAATAATTTTTGTCTCATGGTTAGTTAAATTTAGGGAATGTCACCTCGAACTGAATTTCTCTGAACTAAAAGACGTTATTATTTGTCTTATAGATAAAATAGAGAGTTTGTGCTTGGGTATATTCGATTTTTGAAAGTGAATACCGTATTCGTGTAGGTGGGAGCTGCATATGTAGCATATATCCAATTGAAAAGCTCGGCGATCTAGTATGTTTTAATTTTTTTAAAAATTTCGGAAATATTAGCAGGTAGGCACCACTTAATCGTAAAAGTATACATATGTAAATAATGCGTGACGATGATAGTGTATAAAGTAGTGGTAATTTTATTGGTTCGGTTTGTTGTCAGACTAAGGAACGATCTAGCCTATGGTCACGTATATCAAAGGCAAAAGGCAACCTGCAACCATCCAGGATATATCTACATATAAAGAGCTTGGTGGTGTTAAAGGTTCTAAATAAACAACCGTATCTTGTTCGTGTCTCATGGTAGATAAAATCGCAAGGCACTGCGACTATTCAGCTGCCTTCGAACATGTTCGCGACTGATTTCTCCAACTTTTCTACATAATTCTTTGTCCTTAACGTCGCCATCGCCATCGCCTTCTACATTGTGGCGTTCCTCTTTGTGTTGTCCAGTTGCACTCGTCGTCGTTGTTGTTCTTCGACCGACGGAGCCCCTTAATTTTCTCTTTCAGACAATTGATTCCACATGACAACAAGCAAATTTGATATTTTCAAAATTTTTATCCTATACCAACACTTAATAAAGATGTCCCAACAAAAGAAACAATTATGAGGCGCCTTAGTGATAAACCGCTAAAGTAAAGTTGGTTTTATAAGAACCATCGTGACTAATATAACAATAGAAGACGAAAAATTACAAGTTTCTGATTTCGATAACTCAGGATGGAAGGAGCGCTAAGATTGTGACTCGTTCGACAAAAAAAAATTATTAGTATGCTCGGGAACGAAGCAAATGGTGAAAGTACCGTGGATAGTGAATAGAAAAAGTTTAAATGAGGATATATGAGAAAGGAAGTAGAACTAAGGGAGCAATGGAAATCAATAGGATAAAGGGAAGGTAGGATGATACATGGAGGGTTAAGTTAGAGGTTTATTAGAAGCAGATTAGCTCATGATATTAGGATGAAGTGGAGGCGATGTGTGTCCAACCAGTCTTCGGGTTTAAGATCTTATGATGATGAAGACCGTATACCTAAATAAAGTATACTTATGCATGTATCTACGAAGATGCACATTGGTATTAGGTAAACTTAGTTGGAATGTAGGAGGTGAGGTGGTGGTGGTGGTGGCGGCGGTGGTGTATTTAGTAAGTAAGTACGAAACTGATAAATCGCGAAAGAACTGGTAATTGGCACGATGCCAGCGCAAGCCGTGAATCCTCACTATCTATACTTAAAATCGGTAAATTAAATATTCATGAATGGAAAGGTACGGCAGAACCATGCAAGCACCTTGTTAAGAAGCTCATTTTTGATACATTTATTTGCAAGACTAAGCGAACTCGTTGTTCTTGTTGCATTTAACGTGGATTAAATGGGTGTATTTATATAAATCTGTTCAATGATTGAATCTATTTAAATACCCCAAGTCATTCTCCTTAACTTCGTGTATGTTGTCACAAGTCTCAAAATATTCTCTGCATGTTCACTTACTAATGACAATAACGTCTAATATTGTTTGTCGTTGCATTTTTATCGGTACATACCCACATTAGGGCTATGTCTCTCAAAAAATGCTCTTAACTAGTTGAAATAGGTATTTAAAGCGTCAAGAAGTTTAAAAGAACACCTGTACGCCGGATCCAATTTGTATGAATCCGTCTTTTAAAAGGAAATTATATTTAACGGCTTGTTGACTGTAACGCTTTAACAAAAGACTATTCACCTACGGTGTCCAATTTTGGTAGAGACACTTAGGTATAATACCGCTCCTGATTAAATTCACCTGTGTACCATGAAACAGGGGAAAAAATCGTCGTTCTTACTTTACAATGGGTTAGTCGAAGAAACTGAGCCAGAATTACTTACTACCCGGCTTCTTACTTAATAAAATCGAGGATCTTGTATTATGTCTAATGTTGGCACACACAAGTGTGTACCTAGCCAACTGCATACTAGGAAGCTAAAATAAATCAGAATCAATTAAAACCGTTCGTGCACTGTCCGTTGTGTTCAAGAAACCTGAATTAATTACGTCAACAGCAAGGACCATACGGTTACGAGAACTAACTACAATATATACATATATACAAGTATGGTAGTGTGCAGGTAATGCATATTCAAACGGACCATTGCATTTTAGGTGTGTCACGGTAAGTGTGTATACCTGGTACATAATGTAAACACACGGACGTACGTACGTACGTACGTGTAGCTCTAAATAAGACGAGAAATTTACTCTGAAAGATTTTTACAACATTTCTCCTTCTGACTCCTTCTTTTAACAGGATGTAACGTGTTACTTACAATCAGTGATGAGGAAATGTGAGACCAAAATGAACGTTCATGTGATAATTGGTCTTCTGTGTAGTGCATTAACAGTTAATGCTGTTTTTAATTAGGCAGAAAATAATATGAATTTTTTCTGGAAAATGTTACCTTTACTGCAAAAAGTGATAAAAAAGTAAAATGTAATATTAAACGCTTCTTTCTTTCGGTACTTTAATAAAAAGGGAATATATATACTGATGGGCACGTAGCTGAACAAATCCCTCACTAATAGTTATCCAAGCCCCAAACCCAAAGTCTTTACTTAAAGTGCTTTAGCCTTTGAAACCCCAATTACGTTGGTTTGCACGGTTTCAAGGAATACCTGATGTATTATGTCTTCTTCACAAGTAACTTAGTTTTTTGTAAAGTTTGCGCATTTCTCTTAACTATCTCATTGTGATTTGATGTTGAATTCGTACGATGTGTAGAGTATTTTGTCAAGTTTTACTTTAGATAGATGCTTATTCATTTCACCTTGTATATGGTAATCGTCTAAGTGTATGCATATACATATATTGAATGTGTTTCAATTTTTGCTTGGCGAAACTGGTTGTGATTGGCATTTCATGTTTAGTCTTATTGTACAGAAAAATATAACAAGCAACCCGAGAAACCGGCTGCTCGGGTCGTGAAATATTAATTTAATTGTCTACATGTGCACTTTTGACCCTTTTGTATTAATATCAACAACATCTTTCAAGCTGCTACATTCCTTCGAGTTAGTGTTAATTAATATTTTGATTATGGACAGAAATCTAATTTTAAATTCGTTGCCTACGTGTTTTTGAACAATGTTAAGGTAGGTAGAAACTGAAGGAAATAAATAAAAAATCAAAATATACATGAATAATGAAATTTCAATTTTTTGTGTTTGATAATGCGCGACAGACGTAAATGCGGAATTGCGATAACGATTGTATAGATCAGAGGGCAATGCTAAGGATACACTAATTAAAATATGTGTAGTTTTACTTGTATTATTAATTAAAAAGGCTTTATTGTTTCTGTTGTTGTCGTTCTGTTTTATAATTTGCGTGCCACAGTTGGAAGAACAATATCAACAGTCAATTTATTCATTGGCGAAAATGGACGTGATGAGTGATCATACGCTCGGCATACGCTGCTGTTTAATTAAAAAAAGAAACTTTTGTAGCTTGGTATCAACGTAGTGTTAAGATTTATAAACTATTATTATTATTATCACTGATACGATACCAGAAGATTATTTTCTTAATAAAGTTAATACAATCCAACATCATATGCCTTATGAAGTTTCAATAAAGTAACGAAACGCTGTGCAAACTTTGTTAATTTTACGTTTTTCTTCGTTCCCATCCGATTACTGTTTGAAAACCACACTGAGGATGAATGATTTTTGCGCTTTTGTCCGTGAAATCAGGGCAAAATACCCTAAAAGGAACTTTCGATTGTAACTTATTGAACTGATTTTGTTTCTTACAGTGTAAGCGGTAACCCTGGCGGAGGCCTCCAGCTCCACGGTCGGGAGCTGCATCCTGCTTACCGCCTGCCACCCCACATGGAGTACCTGTACTCTCTACAACATTCAGCAGCCGCATCTCTTCACGGTAAGTACTTATAATTCATTTGTTTTTTATTTCGGTATTTGTGGATAAAATACTGCCTTTAAGAAAAATACGCAAAGGATATCGTTTAAAGTGACGTGGATAAGTTGAGCAAAATTTGTTTATTATAACCTTAGATCTCTATATTCAAACATAATATTTAAAAATATGTACATTTTAGTGATGATAGGAAAGAAAATATGTACAGGCAAATGCATACAATACGCTGAAAGTCCAAAAGCGGCGTTTTGATAGGTACATACATATCTGTATGTTATTATAAAAAAAAAAACAGTTCTTTGTCGAAGCTGCCAAACGTGAATCATAACTTCGAACTCTATTGCTCTCATCAGCGCTCCTAGGACAGACCTTGTTCTGTTTGGGGTGGTGCCTTTAAATAGGAGCTACAAGGCGATAGGTATCGTTATCAGAAAAGGACCTTGTCCAACATAATTGAACCTACCAATAATTAACAAGTTTCTAATGTACCTATTTGGCGTTCACTAAGGTTTCTTTACTAGTTTACGTAAAGCAAAACAAACTTTAATTCAGCTCCTTTTAAATTTTAATCCTTTTAAAATTTAATTGTGAAGATGAGTAGAAATGAAGAGGCAGAAGAGCAGAAGGGGCTATCGATGTCAACAAGAAAGAGAGCTGATAGATTGGTAGAAAAGGTTCTCAGATATAAAGGGTTAGAGTTAAAAGCAGAAACAGAAGTTAAGAGGGACAGAGGTAGACCTACATTAAATTACTGTTCGCAAATAGCTAATTAGAGATGTAACTTGTTCTAGTCTTTAAGAAATGCAAAGATTAGCTGCAGATAGGAAGAAATGAAAGTGCGTATCCAAGCAGTCTTCGGGGTGAAAACCTTATGATGATGATGATGATGATGATAATTGAAATATAAAAAGTTGTTCAGTTCTTTGAAATTTCGTCTCAATAACCACTATGTCGTTGCGAACTAAAGTAGCTGTATCTATAATTTAGTTTAATATCTCAGACCGCTTAATTAGGTATAATTTTTAAATAGGCCGTTTTTTCCGAATTTTTGGCTTACAACTAGTTAAAATTAGTTTCCAGTTTCAGGTGTAATTGTACGTGTATCTTTGCGTAACTATTTACCTATAAGTATGTAAATATCACGTTAGAAATCGTTTACATTTTCGAGCAAAGAGTATCCACCATAAATGTCCACTTGCTGTTTTTATGATCGGTTCGTTCGATATTTTAATATCTAATAAAATGACGGCGATCGCGCAGCTTGATTCCAAACATGGCTTTAGGTCGTAAAGTGGACGCTTTATCGATATCTTTTTCTAAAGTATCAGATCTAATAAGCCCACATCCTTCTATCTACTATTCCGGTACCACTCTACATTCTACACAGACTGGATCCAGTTTTAGCGGCATTAGATTAGATTGTAAATATCTGTCTGTGTGTATTAAGTTAGTCCGATTTTAAACTTCCCATCATGTGATTACAATGTTATAATTTTTACGTTTTTTTCTTCAATTTATTAAGACAAGTTTATAGGCGACGTCTCGGAATAAATTATGAACAGTGTTTGTCAGATATTTAAAACTTACGTATTATGCATATTTATCCGTTATATTAAGACGTCCAATAAGAAAAAGTTTTTTAAAGTTAAAAATAAGGAGTATGAAAACAGAGGATGTCATGGAATAAGTCAACAAGAAATTAGCGAGATAAGTTGGTATAGGACACCTTTTCGGACATTAAGGGCTACGTGAATGTGGACATGTAAAAACCCTCTTTGATCAAAACGAACGTAAAGGAATTACTAAAATAACTGTGTGTCTATTATATGACATACATACACATTGAGCGAAAACACTACTTCTAAAATTTTGCAAATGGTTAGAGATTTATTTGCGAACAATAATCTCATCTAGGTCTACTTTTACCTCTGTTAACCCCTATTTCTGCTTCCAATATGTCACTAACTAGCCCCTCATGTTCTGCCAACCTATCTCGCCTCTTTCTTATAACGCCCTCCATTCTCCTCTTTCTAATACCTCTAATGCCTTTTATTTTTTCTATTCGCGATATTTTTAATATCCTACTATAATACCACATCTGAATAACTTCTAAATTCTTCCCACAGCGTACGTACACCTTTGATAATTTTAGAAAATACTACAAATGGCGCAGTAAACGCCATCTGTAGCACGATGCTACATTTTAGGATTTCGTATGCTCCAACAAGGTCGCGACGCGCTGATAAGATCCAAATCGCGATCCGCGTCTGGCAGTTTCGACAGAATACAAACCACTTTCGAATTATTTTACCTTTGATAATGTTTTTCCAATAATGCACATTAACCGTGCACAAATATGCGATCTCTGTTTGTTAAAAGCGACCTTCTTATAGTTTTTAAACGTGTAGATATATGTATAGGTAGATATTTCTGTGACCAGGAAAATTTTGTCTGTCTGTTGGTTAAATAAAAGGCTTCCTTTCGTCTACATTAAAAAAATTATACCACATCAACGTTGCCACTTCAAATAGTTTGACTGTCATAATGTTTTTGATCTTCCATTAAATTTTGATGAGACAAGAATGTTTACTAACATTAGGTTTGAAAAACGCAAGAGACCTGATGCAAGCATCTGGCAAAACTCATAATCTATTTTCGGTCGCTTCGAGATGTTTAATGACTTATTTTTGTGTCTTTGTGTCGGCTTTATCCGCCTCTTCTTTCGTTCAGAATTCCTCAAATAAAAATTCAGTTTCTATAAAATTGAAAATCAATTTCACGTTCTTTATTTCTTAATCTTTTGTTTCGACCAATATGAAAATCCAAAAGTAAGTAGGTATTTGTTTACACATAACACTTACTTTTACTTTCTTTTCTCCGAAAATTATTTTTGATAAAAAAAGTAGCCTAGATCCTTGCTGACGACGTGCTGTTTACGTTTGCAAAATCCCATCGAAATCGTTTTGAAGATTTGCCCCGTACAAACAGACAGATGGACAGATATTTGTTTTTAATGGTCGATTCAATTTTATTTGTACATATACGTATATAGATTAATTGATTTTCTTATCGATTTTTTTTTGACACTTTATTAGCTACTGTTTTCGTTCTTACAAAAAGTTTTATTAAGTAAGTGATGATACAAAGTCTGTTAACAGCAGGAATTAATTTTTTCTACCGTCATGTTTGTTATTTTTGTGCGTGTTGTATTAACTGTTGGTGTATTTTAATGGAAAAATGTTTATTTATTTGCTCCAGTGCAGAATATTGAAACGTCGCTTCCCGTGTCGTCGTTTATTTTCAGACGTTTGGCCAACTTTATGCCCATATGGCGATGACATGAGCTTAAATAAATCTCACCTCACACAAACCGAGAAGTTCATGTTTCACTCACTCTCGCCATCTCTCCGAATTTCGTCTCCTTATATCTCATCATAAATTTAGTTCTCAAAGGAAATAATTTGAATTTAAACTATTTTTTAAGCCCATAGCAAAATTTATCTACATAGAAAACAGTGAAATATAAATACGTAATATATGTATACAAACTTTGTCAGGTGGATTAGTTGATAGCTCGTGAGATCGTCGATCGTGAGAATTTTCATTAAGAATATATAAGCATCCTGCAAAGTGTGTAGGTGTTGCCAATCAAATTCAGAATTTGCCTCGCACTTCCGCTTACTGATGCGTTAATAATACAATAGTTTTTTGCAACCTCAATTTATGGTCGAGTAATATCGTATTGACACTCGAGATAAGAAATGAATAAGAAAATAAATTAGTGTATGCGATTTTCCGTTACAATTTTTCCTAGTTAATCAATAACTGCTATAATCTTCAGGTACGTACGTAAAATCGAGGAAGCGCCCCGAGCAGGAAATTGATCATTGTTTTACATATCGCAAAATATTTCTAATAATGTTATTTCCGAAATGTTTCCTCTTTTAAATAGATAAGTACTAAATTAATTATTCGAGTTTTAAAAAAAGCTACAACTTTATATTAATACGTTTTATCTGAATATTGTTTCTTCGTACGAATATTTTTCCTTTTGTTTATCTACAAAAATATTTTGATGAAAGTACCACTCCAAACAAAAGTCAATACATACGTACTAATCTCGAACTGGGGATATTACCTTGGATGTCAGAAAGGTTTTAAACGTTTTATTTAATTATTGTCCTAAATGTGATAGTTTAAAAATAGATAATTATTGTGATTGCTCTTATAGTTTATCAAAATATAAGGTAATTAAATAAATAGTGAAAATTAACGCTATCATGGTCTGTCTGTCTCTACCACCTACATCTGCAGATGTTTTATACAGATATGCATAATGTATAATATATTGTAGGCATTGGACTGCCACCAGATTACATAGGCGCAAGAGGTTTAACCGAACTACACCCTAATTCAACTTTAACAAGTAGCGAATTTCCGTATAGCATAGAAGGTACGAAATAAAGTAGCAATTTAACAGTAAGATTTTTGATTTTGTTTTTTTTTTGTAAGGATCACGTCTAAATAGTCCACGACCAGGCAGTTTACGTCAATCTCGTAAACGAGCATTATCATCGTCGCCCTATTCTGACTCTTTCGATATAAATTCGATGATTCGTTTTTCTCCAAATTCTTTGGCATCAATCGTAAATGGATCGAGATCGTCAAGCGCGAGTGGTTCTTACGGTCATTTATCGGCCGGAGCCATCAGTCCAGCCCTTAGTAGCATGCATCCCGGAATGCACCTTCAACAACTCCAGGCACACCTCATTCGCAGTGCTGGATCATTACTACCACTACCACCCGCACCAACTTCTCACCATCCCATGTATTCCTTACCCCATCATCCACTTCACAGCAGCAGCAGCCTCGGACAGAATATTCCCAAGCCGGACGCGATTCATGACGGGCGAAAAAAATCCGACACGAATAACATTCCTCATTTGGAAACGGACAAAAAAACGAAAATAAAAAAAGAACCCATCGCAAATGGATTAACGGGGCAGTGCATGCAAGGATCAGAAGCTGGAGGTGATCAAGCTGATCTGCGAGATGAACCGGGAGATTTTATTGAAACGAATTGTCATTGGAAAGACTGCGGTACGGAATTTCCTACGCAAGATGATTTAGTAAAGGTTTGTGTACTGTTCATGTTTATTTTGCACCTTATCTAAAGACAATTCAATATTTTACAGCACATCAATAACGACCATATACACGCTAATAAAAAGTCATTTGTATGTCGATGGGATGGGTGTTCCAGGGCTGAAAAACCGTTCAAAGCCCAGTACATGTTGGTAGTTCATATGCGTAGACATACGGGGGAAAAACCGCACAAGTGTACCGTAAGTTTTTTTTTAATGGTAGTATAAGCGATCTTTACCAATAATATTCGTTATCTTTTAGTTCGAAGGTTGCTACAAGGCGTATTCGAGATTAGAAAACTTAAAAACCCACCTTAGGTCGCACACAGGTGAAAAACCGTACACTTGTGAATATCCCGGGTGTTCAAAGGCGTTTAGCAACGCTTCCGACCGAGCCAAACATCAGAATAGAACTCATAGCAATGAGGTAAACAGAAGTTCATATTTTAGAACAAAAATAAAACCGTTACTGTCCTTTATTTGTGATCATAACCAACAGTAGGGCCCCCATTTCATTATTTATTTATTTATTTATTTTTTACAGAAACCGTATGTCTGTAAGGCACCGGGTTGTACGAAAAGGTACACAGATCCAAGTTCCCTGAGAAAACACGTTAAAACCGTACACGGAGCAGAATTCTATGCAAACAAGAAGCACAAAGGTATTGACGGGCCTAACGACGATGGTTCAGCAGGTTTGGATTCGAGTCCGCGAAGCGAAGACATGCAAAGCCATAAGACAGCGAGTCTGAGCAGCCCAAGTATCAAGTCGGAGGTATTTATGCATTTGGTTTCACAAATAGGTTATCTACTTTTTTTTTTATTTAACTAATGAATTTTTCGTTACAGTCTGACATAAACTCACCAAGTCAGCAACAAGGCAGTCCCCTCGGTGTGAATCAGGGAACAGGTGGATGTCAAGATGAAGGAAACGGTGATGGAATATCGACCATTCAAAGAACAGTTCCTATCGATGACCCATCTTGGCCGTACGATGCCGAAGATCTCGAAGTACTTTTGCATTCTTTTTTAATTGAATTGTCTTTTTTCATCTTTATATTTGGCTTTTTCTTCAGATTGAAGATCTACCTGAAGTTCTACGAGCAATGGTAGGCATTGGAACCGACCGAGGCGGTGGAGTGACGATAAACAACGGTCCAGCAACGCGTAACAGGGTGAAACCTCGACTACAAATGAAGCCATCGTCTAACTTATCGAGCATATCGCGAAAAAATGCCGGAATTACTGATCTGAACAGGAGAATAACTGATTTGAAAATGGAAGGGGGAGTTACACCTGCACAAAGTAAAATGCAAATGACTGACATACAACAGAGATTACAACCGCTCGGAGGCGGAGGAACGCAAGTACAATTAAGGAGAGACAGTAATTCGACCGTGAGTTCGTGTTATGGCAGTATGAGAAGTGCCGATATGAGCAGGAAGAGCAGTCTTGCGTCACAAGTAAGCATATAAATATTTATTTACGAATTAGTCTTCTATCTTTAATTTTTCTACTTGTAGACATCAAACATGAGACCCGGCGTTGGCCCAAGTTCCGTTTACGATCCAATATCAGCCGGAAGTTCGAGAAGATCGAGTCAATTATCGACCGCGACAACTGGCGGTGTTTCGTTGCCACCACCCCCATCATCTCATCTTCTCGCCGGACAATTACAAAAATTACAAACGCAAGGATCACCTTCCGGTAATAATAACTTGGTTCTTCAGGTAAACAAAAAACTACTAAATAGTTATTTTAATTACAATACTTAATTGTTCCGTTTTTCAGCCTCAAAATGTTTCTCTCCAACAGAACGCATTTCAACAAGCGTGGTTGTTTAACAAATTACCCACAGAAGTTTCGCTTCCGAGTTCGTCGTCGGGGGTAGATAATAGACGTTTATCCGAGCCCTGCCATACCCTTACAGATCGTAAAAGTCCGCCTCCTCGACCTGCATCCGTTACATTATCTCCCCTTAAAGGTGCTGGTGCATCGTCTGAATTGCACCCCAATCAAGCAGTCGTCCTGGACGAAGTGGGTGAAGGGGAAATGGTTGAAAACAAACTGGTCATCCCAGATGAAATGGTTCATTATTTGAATCAAGTTGCCGACAACACTGACGGCAACGTTGCTTGCTGGACCAATTCTCCTTCCAAAAATTGTACGTTAAACAATAACACTCAACAGAAACCTGTTAGTAGTTCTGCAGAAGTGCTGAATCAGACTTCCAGTTTAAATGTGGCTGTTCCCGGAAGTCCACAGTACAGTCAACTCGCTTCTCCTTATCAACAGCAAACCAATCAGGTTGTGTCAACGCTTTCGCCCATGGTACAGTTAAATCAACAGATGCAGCTTAAAACAAACCAACAGGATGGACACGTGAATTTAAATCAAGTTATAATGTCGCCTCCTTCCCAAAACTTCAGTCAGATGGCCGTACCATCTCATATGCAAAATTCAGTAATGTCCCCAGGTTCAAACGTTTCGCAAATGGCCGCCTCTCCCCAATCTACAGGCACCATGATCCAAATGGTTCACTCACCAGCATCCAATATCAACCACATGACTCATTCTCCAGTTGCACATAACGTCGGTCACATGATGCATTCATCTTCATCAAACAATATGAATAGTCAAATGATGGTACCATCTCCCACCACCAATCACCAAATGATTAATTCTCCACCTCCGAACGTTATGAATCATATTTCGAACGGAAATCAAATACTGCCCTCTTTACCGAGTAGGTGTAGTTCACAAGTAAGCCTATCTGGTTTTCAAAATCAGTCCGGCATGATGCAGAACGCCATGGTACCTCAAAACTGTAATGTTGTCATGCAAAACCAAAACAGACAAGACTTGATGGTGCAAAATATGATGACATCTACAAACATGATGCAAAATCAATGTTTTAACAACCAGTCCACAAATCCACACAACATTTGTCATGCCCAACACAGAAACGCGTGGGACAGCAATCTCAAAGTACAAAATCTCATGTGCCAGAATCAAAATAGTCCGATGCAGCCGTATCCTGGGAATCATAATATGTGCCATTCCGGAAACGTAAACATGAACTATAGTAATAGTAATCAGTGTCCTCAGATCCAAAGTAATTACCTGTCTTCTAACGTTCCCATGGGATCAAATAATTTTTGCGGTAGTCATAGTTACCAAAGTACATGCACTCGAAACAATTTCGCCGACGGTTGTAACAACAATCAGTTGAATAGTACCAACGGGTACAGTTGTAGGGGAATGAATTTTGGCTCTTCAGCACGACCTCACGGTTTATCCTGCGTTCAAACTGTCAACGACCAACCCCTAAACGGTGCTAATCCTCCGACACCTAACGACGTCCGAATGACCAAAACTTGCAATCATTTCGACCAGAATTGTTTCAAACCGCCTTACAACAATAATTGCAATGGGAACGTTGTTGATATTGAAAAAAGTCATGCATGCTTAAACTGTAGTAACCATTTCAGCTTGTACAACAGACGTCAAAATAATTGTGTTCATCAGTGCACCGACAACGAAATTCAGTGCAAGGACATAAGTCAATCACAAATGTCGCCGGGAATTCCCACCGGTGGTAATAATGCTAACAGTCAACCACAGTCAGTGCAGCAGGTGAATATGCATCAGGATGTCTATCAACGAACTTTAGAGTACGTACAAAATTGCCAGTCGTGGGTGAGTAACAGTGACATGGTGAGCAGCACCACCACGCAGCCCCTTGCGAAATGCGCTACCGACCCTCCGAGTTCCAACATGGTTGTTAATGATATGACCTCTTCATTAAGTTCGTTACTTGAAGAAAATCGTTATCTTCAACTGATACAATGAAGGAGTATTTTTAAGAAAAGGTAATGTTTGAGTTATGTAAGAAAAGTTTTTTTTTTTTGTTAACTTAAAAGTTGTAAATTGTGATATATATAAGTTTGGTGAAGAATAAATGGTAGTAATGGCTTTAAAATTGTAAATAATAGTAAATAAGTTTTCTTTTTTCCTCTTTTTTGTTCTTATTTATGATCAAACGTCACACGATCTCAGTTTTTACACAACAGGCCATGACTGTCACTTATGAAAATTTAAAAAGAATATTAAGTACATTTTTATACGAGAACATTGTAAAAAAACACTATGTAAAAGAATTGTATTTTTTATGTGCTATTATTATAATGTTTAATAAAAATTATACGTTTAAGAATGATCAGTTCACTCTATATCAGAATTATTATCATTACAAATGTAACACATTGAAATTGTATTGAAAAGCTAGAAAATGGTGATGGCATATTACTGTTTGATAAATAAGTAAATGATCTTTTGTAAAGATATCAAAAACGCCTGACTTTTTAGATTATAAAAATGCAATAACAAACTGCATAAGAGTACAGTATTATTTCTACGAAAACATCCTTAGAACCGTTGTTAATAGAAAATTGTTAATAATTAATTTACTGTTGCAGCGAATGTATTTATTTCTACTAAAACCGATGAAACTCGTCGCATTGGAAAAAGAAATATGACGTCCAGCCTCTATTTAGACACTACGTAAGACGTATTACGACTCTATGGTTATTACATTTGGTCTATGGATTTTGTTGATGACTCATTTAGTTCATTACAAAGGAATCGCTGTGGTAGACGTTTTTTAGTTAAATATTTAAATAAAAGTGTATATATTCTAAAAAGTAAGATCTGGTTATAATATTAGGTATTTGTACTAATATGTTTCTGTTGTAATTTAATTATTTCACGTTTTCATGCTCATGGTTTGGTCCACATAACATGCATTTATTTATTTTAGAATAAAAATATAACAAACTTAAATTTAATTAAATTGCAGTTACAGTCAAGTGAGAGAAACAAATGTGATTGTAAGTACCAAGAAGGGGCTGTATCAGATCATTAACACCAGATAACGAAGACCATCTTCCTTGGCGTACATCAACAAACCAAAAGTATGGCTAATTCACTTTATTTTTTAATTCTTTTTACTTTTTGTGTATTTCATTAGCAAATTAAGTAGATGTTATTTACATTAACTTTTTACTCTGAACTTAATTTCTTTTTTTATTTAGTTCTATTAAATCTTGTAGTTTATTTACTAATTGAAGGACTATATATAGGTCTTAGGGACTCTGATGTTTACATCTACATTCCTCTAGCAAATAAAGATGGCAGCCATCAACGGAGTCTATCAACAAACGTAAGGTAATTATTTTAATCTGCCTTTCTTCAAATATTTCCCTTTTTAGTTATCTTTTTTATTTTAATAATTATACCAATTTAAAGCTTTTCTATATTTTTGTTTATGTTAAGTTTCTATTCAAAACTTAGTCTCTTGTTTTTACTTCTATCTTTTATTTAATTTACTAACTCTTAAGACGTTTTAGGTATTTCAAGTTTACATCAGGACTCCTCCAGCACGTGAAGGATGTCAGCTAGCTTGTTAATCTTTGGCGGAGTCTGCAAACACCAGATAACGAAGACCACCTTCCTTGGGGTCCATCAACAAGCACAAGGTAGTCTTTATTTATTTCATTCTTTAACTCTTTCATTTTTGTGGATTCTATTTATTAAACAGATCTTGTTTCCTTTTTTAGTTAACTACTTTATGCTTTTTCGTTCTTTTTTTACTTTAACACAGAGTGTCCCTGTTTTAAATGGTCTCTTTCTTTTTATTTGCTTTAACTTTTTATTCAAAGTTAATTTCTCTTTTTTAGTTATTTTTTATATAATCTTTAATTTAATTTCGTTTTTTTTTTTAATAATCAAGACGAGAAGGTAAACAGCTAGAGCCTCGCAATCTGCAAAGTTGCCCAGGACCCGTCATGGAAGTGGAACCTGCTGGAGGTGTGGTCAACGCATCAGGAAACAGCGGGAAACACCAGCATCCCCAGGACATCACTGGACATCGAGGGACCGAACCAGCGGACTCCGGGATCCGAAGTCTTCGGGGTATGAAGACCCCAGGATTGGAAGACTTCGAATTCCAGGATCTCCAGGTACGAACACGTCGAATTTCGAAAATTTCGAAGTTC